GGAGTCCGGCGGGCGGGGAGGCAGCCTGGCTTCCCAGCAGACTCATTCCCCTTCCCACTCCTCACCCGCTGCCTCTCTCTCCTCCTCTCTGCCTGGGCCTCCAGACCTGCTGACACAGTGCCTTTCTCTCCTGGGCCCAGGGGGCAGTGTAGCCAGTACAGGCATTGCTCAGCACAGCTGTGAGCTGCAACCCACAGGTCAGGTAGAGGGGGTGGAGCTGAGGAGACTCCTCTCCCAGCTCCTCCCAGGATAATCTTCCCTCTCTTCTCAGGCTCATCCCCTCTTCTCATGGCAGAAGCACATTTTGAGGGGCTTAAAAACATTTCTTTTAGATTTTTTTATGTGTATGAGTATTTTGCTGCAGTGTGTGTATGTACACCGTGTGCATGCCTGGTGCTGTTGGGGTTTAGAAGAGAGGGTCAGATTCCCTGGAACTGGAGTTATAGATGGTTATGTGTGTTCCAGGAATTGAACCTGGGTCCTCTGTGGGAGCAACAAGTGTTTTTAACCACTGACCCATCTCTCCAGCTCTACAAATGGCTTTTTAAAAGAAATGTGGTTGCCTGTGTGAGTTCCTGTGTGTGACCTTGGGTGTCATCCTTAGAAACATTGTCCACCTCCTCTTAGACAGAGGACACCTCCTCTCTCTCTAACCTGGAGATCAGCATTTCAGCCAGACTAGCTACTGAGGAGCCATGGGGATCCACCCGTCTCTGCCTCCTCAGCACTGGGATGACAGGCCTGGCTTTTTCTAGGGGTTCCAGTAATCGAACTCTGGGGATCTGAGTCTGTCATTCCAGGGACTTGGGAGGCTGAGCAGAAGAGTTGTAGGTGTAAGACTTGCCTGGGCTGCAGAGTGACATCAAGGCCAGCCTGTGTGACTGTAAGAGATCCTGTCTTGAAGTAAAAAGTGGGACGAGAGCTGAGTGTGTGGCTTGTTAGCATGTGCGAGGCTTAGGGGTCCATCCCCGGAACTGCCAAAGCTGACAGATAAAATACAATGAAGTTGCAGAGAAAGAATGGAGTCTCACTTCCACTAATCTTCGTGTCAAGCCTTCCTTTCAGACCTGGGGGACGCTGGGCTCTGAAGCAATAGAAACCCTGCTGACACAGCAGCACCTGAACACGATGCCAGCTGCTGCAAAGGCAGTTTCATGGCAGCCATCTGGGGACAGGAAGCTAAGGAGTGCCAGAGGGAGATAGATGGTGGCTGCATGAAGAAGCAGCCACCCAGGCTGGGAGAGCCAGTGAGGGCTTGGCCTTGCTTTCTGTGTGTGCAAACATTGGCTCTTGTTTGCCAGGCTGCAGGGTGAGATGGAGGAGAGTCTTTGCAGTGCTTTGTTCTGGGACTAGAGACTGGTGCTGAGAGGCAAGAAGCCAGGACTGATGGGCTGTGAGGCTCTTTTGTTGTCTTCCTAAATTGCTGTTTGCAGCTGAGCAGTGAGACTGACAGCAAACAGAAAAGGCCTGATTTCCTGCCTTCCTGAAATGCTTCCTCCTAGTTTACTGCCTCTTCCTTTGCCTTTCCACCTGGAAAATGGGTTCACGCTTTAGCCCCTTCCAACTTTCTAAGGATGGTTTGATGGCTCCTCCAGAATACCAAATGTAGTGGCCTGTCATCCCATCACTTGGGGGCTGAGACAGGAGGCTCCAGGTTCAAGATTGAGACCTTGCCTCAAAAAAACAAGCAAACTGCCCAACAGATCTAGATTCAAAGAGGAGAACAAGCCAATCACCTTCTCAAAGAGAAATGCTGAGAGGGTCAAAGTTCCCCCAGCTCAGACTAGGAGGCACGCTGTCCTTGGGGACACACATGATACATTCATTGGGCTTTGCGGACAGCAACCATGCATGCTGCTGCACTCTGCCCAGGACAGTGCCCACTCAGGTGCGTGTCAGGTTGGGGGCCCATTGCCCCTGTTCTCGGGGTGCTGTGGTTGCATGTCTGACATCTGCTTGTGTACTCTCAGCCTTCCAGCTCCAAGAGTGCCAGCTCCATTCACAAGCTGTTGGTGGACTAGGGTTGTCTCTGAGAGACTGAGCCAGAGAACATGAGAGTTCTCTGTGAAATAGTCTATATGTCGAATCGGAGCAACAATGTGGATCCTCCTGAGGAGCCCAACAGATAGTTCCTGGGATGAGGAAGAGAGACAGAAGGAAAGGGCACTTCTCCTCTCTCAAATACTGTCAGATTGCCCCCCCCAGATGCCTGCTCTGACCGTTTCTTACAAAAGATTATTTGCTTTGGTGGTGAATCTTAGCCTTTAATGAGTCATCCCCCAGCCCACAAAGACTGACACTTTCTCTCTCTCTCTCTCTCTCTCTCTCTCTCACTCTGTGTGTGTGTGTCTGTGTGCTGTGTGTCTCTGTGTGTGAGAGAGACAGAGACAGAGGCACACACACACACACACACACACACACACAGAGAGAGAGAGAGAGAGAGAGAGAGAGAGAGAGAGAGAGAGAGAGAGAGAGAGAGAGAGAGAGAGAGAGAGAGAGAGAGAGAGAGAGAGAGCGCACAGTGCCCATGGAACTCCCAAGGTGTCAGATCCTAGGAGCTGAACTTGGGTCCTCTACACTCTCATCTGCTGAGCCCTGTCTCTGTCCTCAGCACCCCACCTAGAGACTGAACTTCACTTGTAGCCCTTGCTGGTCTGGAACTGGCTATATAGACAAGGCTGGCCTTAAAATCACAGAGATCTGTCTGCCTCTGCCTCCTAAATGCCTAAGATGTTCTCAAGTAACTAATGCCATGGCATTTAGTACAGTCAAGGTTTCATACAGCTGTGTATCTGGTTCCCACACATGAAGCTATCACTCTCCCTCCGTCAGCCCCAGCATCCAGGAAGCTGCCTTGAAGATCTGCTGATGGTGTGTGATCCATACACAGTGGCCCTGGGTCCCTTTGTGCCTTGCTCCTTTTACCCAGCCTCACATTCCCAAGGTTTGCCCATGTGTCAGTGCATCACTCCAGGGTTAAGCAGGAGTTCACACTGAATTCCCCTTTTTTGGCAGATCAAGCATATGCTGCTGTCATTCACATAGCAGTGTTTGTCTGAGTTCCTATTTTCCTAGTTCTTTGGGCTCTGTACCTCAGAGTAGAGTTCCAGTGCGGGGTGGTAATTCCATATTTAACCTTCCTAGGAAATGCCAGGCTAATTTTCAATGTAGCCACACAGCTTCATGCTCCCCAAAGCAGTGCACAGGGTTCCCAAGACTCCCAGTAACCTCAGCACCTGGTGCTTCCTAGCTTTGTTTTATTTCCTGCTGTTTATGTGGGAGTGAGAACTGATACCTCCCTGTGGTTCCTTTTAAATTGCAGGTGATGGGCCATGCATGCATGGTGCTCACTTTGGGGTGTGTGTGTGTGTGTGTGTGTGTGTGTGTGTGTGTGTGTGTACGGTTTATGGATGGAGGTCAGAAAACAACTTTCAAGAGTCATTTCTCTCCTTCCACCATGTTGGTTCCAGGGATCACACTCAGGTTGCCAGACTGTTACTAAGTGCCTTTACCCACCAAGAAGGTCTTGTTGGCCCATGTTCATTTTTCTTTTGTTGTTTATGCTTTGGATGTCACAGCAGACCACAGTTTTGTTTTGTGTGTGTATGTGTATGTGCACGTTTGTGTGGGTGTGTGTATGTTTGTATAGGTGTTTTTGCACTGTAGGGTATGTGCACGTAGAAGTCAGAGGTTGGTGAGGTCAGTGCCAGGCGTCTTTTTCAATCACTCTGCACCTAAGGATTCGAGACAGTATCTCAGTAAGCCTAGGGTCCCCTGTTGTAGCTAGAGTGCTGGCAAGCTCTGGGGTCCACTCCCGCCTCTCCAGTGCTTGGGGGCACCAGTGTACCCATCTTTCGTGTGGATGCTGGGGCTTCCACTGAGAGAGATCCTTATGCCTGCACAGCAGGTGTTTTACAGTTTTACAGTGTTTTACGTCTTCCAGGCCACGTCTCTTTCCTGCCTCTTCTCCATAGCGTTCGCCATCTTACTATAGATGCAATCCATTGTCATCCTTCCATACTCACAGTGGATCAGTTCTGGACCCCAGGAACACCAAAATCTGCAGACATTCAAGCCCTGACTTCCAGACCTGCAGACCTCCTCCCAGAGATGCCATCTCATCTCTAGGTGACGTGAGAGGACCTAACTTGGAGGCGTGTCTCTCAATAGTTGCTGCAGTGTGTTGTTTAGGGTCCTACATAAGTGCTCAGCCTGACACATTTCTCTCTCTCTGGACACTTTGATCTCTGGCCAGTTGGATTCATGGATGCTAGCACACTCATGAAGAGGGCCGTGCTCTCTGCACTGTGGCACTGTCTAGTGTGGTCTATGTGCTGGAGTCACTTCACATACTTACTGGCTTCTCTGGGAGTCTGGGAACTTTGCTGTCTTCTGCCGTCGGTGCTGTGCCCACAGCCAGTGCAGGGCTCCTGCATTTGGAGTGATTGCACTGCAGGGGTGAGGCAAACATGCCCAAGAGCTGGAGAACAGGCTGGGGCATGGCATGCTGTGGCAATCTTGAACTCAGAGCAGCTGTGATTGCCTGCACAAGATTGGGTCTGCCAGCACCATGTCATGGAGGAAAGAGGGCATCTCGAGGCTTCAGCCTTCCCTGAAGAGTCATACGCAGTTAGTTAGGGCAACGTCTTCTCCAAGGGTGCACACTGCCTGCCAACAATCTTAAACTCATGAGTCAAAAAGAAAGAATAAAAGAAATCATAGATGGAAAGGGTCCAGAGAGGGAGAGGGAGGGGGCTTGAATGTGACCCTCGTGTGTAGCTAGTATGTGCTAATAGAAACATTTTTAAAAGTCACAGGTGCAGGGCTGGGAACTGCAGGGCTGCCCCCAGACAGATGAGGCAGGTCCTGTGTGTGTGGATGGAGTAGGGATGTGAGCGGCTGAGAGGACCAGGGGCAGCTAGAGTGTTGGGCCCAATTGCTGAGAGAGGACAGAATGCTAAACACAAAGCCACTGGTGGTCCGCTCCTTAACCCCCACACTCCCTTTGAGTACATGATCCTGGCCACCATCATTGCCAACTGCATCGTCCTGGCCCTGGAGCAGCACCTCCCTGATGACGACAAGACGCCCATGTCAGAGCGCCTGGTGAGCAATGGGGTAGAGGGGATCTGGGCCCCTGGCCTGAGAGCTGTGTGGAGAAGAACCTACCTTACATGATCGTCAGTGACCTGGGGACGTGGAAGCCCTCACTGCCCAGCCCCACCATTGAAACCCAGCAGACCTTGTATACACCGGGGCACAGGGACCATCACACTGTCCATGAAGGCATCATACTCAGTCCAAATTCTACTTTCTGTCTCATGCCCAGAAACAAAATTTTCATGAAAAAAATGTGAGTGTATATAAATATAGAACAGAGAAGTTAACCACTGCAGACTCACCCATCATATTCAGTCACCGAGGATCATTCACACTCTTCCTTGGCTTTTATTTCCCTCCATGTTCATCTTCCTCAGCAGAATTACTCTAGGATATATCCAGAGTTGACAGCCGTGTCCTTATGCCTGCATAACTGGAAATGCGGGCGCCTCACGTTGCCATGACAATGTTTTTGTGCCCAGCACAAGTGCCAGCAATACCTCAGAACCAATTGTCTCTCATCATTTTAGGGTTGTTTTTTTCTACTGAGAGTCAAATATACACTTGATTTGTTTATTTATTACCCATTTGCCATTTTATTGTACTAAGGATGAACCCAAAGCTTCACACGTGCTAGACTAGCTCTCTGTCACTGAGCCATGGCCCAGCCCCTTAATAGGGAATTCTAGGCAAAAGCTCTACTCCAGGAGCCACACTGTCAGCTTCTCACTGGTGGATTCTAGACCAGGTTCTACTGCTGGGCCATGTCCTCTTGGCATTCATAGTCTCAGACAAGGTAGCATCTGTATCTCTAAGGGAGGAAGTTCAGGATTCCTAACCCAGGAACTGGGTTGTTCTTGACATTCTGTCACTGTGACACAGTATCTGAGGCAGCTCAGCTTCCAGAGTATTCCTTTGGCTTAGTTTCAGAGGTTGTGGCCTTTGGTCACTTGGCCTGTTGGGAGGGAGAGGTGGCCCGTCTCTGGGTGTGCTGCCTTGGGGTCATGACACCCTCCACCACCCATGCCACTGACACTGCCTTCTATCCCTTCCAGGATGACACGGAACCATACTTCATTGGAATCTTCTGTTTCGAGGCTGGAATTAAGATCGTGGCTCTCGGCTTTGCCTTCCACAAAGGCTCCTACCTGAGGAATGGCTGGAACGTCATGGACTTTGTCGTGGTGCTAACAGGGTAGGCGACTGCATCACTTTCTTTAGCATATTTTCCCAAAGATGTCAAGGTGTGTCTAGTATTATGTCATGTGTGGCCTGGGTTGGCTGGAGACCTGTGCCCAATGTTCTTTAGTGCACACTTGTCCCCAAACCCATGTCTCCACCACTTATAGCAGCAAGTGCAGTCTGGCCGAGCTAAAACAACAGCCTGTTGTAGCTGGCAGCATCTACAGTGCCTCATATACACGGCCACGTAGCCCCCAACATAACCCAGTGGGGCAGGAGATGCTGCATTCACAACCCACCACTCAGGAAAGATAGTTATCTCACCTGCTAAGCAGTGGGGCTGGGATCGAACCCTGCAAACCTAGGTGTCTGAGAGCTCCTCATCAGTGGAGCTTGGCCTTTGCTTGGAAAAGTGGTGCCTTTATCTCATGATGATGACTGTGTGTGGAGGGTTTCTGGCTACATGAATTTACGGTTTGGACTTTGGCAGGTTTTGATCATGTCTCTAAGGGGTTTTCAGATGTGGATACAAGGAATGAGCTGTGGTTGAAAAGCAAATGTATATACACTTCCCACACTGGCTGCTACAACAAAATGGTTCCAAACTAAGAATGACTTCAACTTAATGGAAGTTTGTCACTCATTAAAAATCAAAAATTGCCCCCTCTATCAAGATAACTCTTTCATTACTCTCTCCCTTCATCCTGCCCCAACTTGACCATCCTGGTCCCTCATGTTCCCATCCCCCCCACCTTCTCCCCTCTACTCCCCCTGCCCCCAGTTTACCCAGGACATCTTATCTATTTCCCCTTCCCAGGGTGATCCATGCATCCCCCTTAGGGTCCTCATTGTTACCTAGCTTCTCTGGGGCTGAGGATTGTAATCTGGTTATCCTTTGCTTTACATCTAATATTAACTTATAAGTGAATACATACTGTGTTTGTCTTTCTGTGACTGTGCCAGGGAAACTCCAAGGAACCCACAAGGATGACCCCAGCTAAGACCCCTAGCAATAATGGAGAAGGTACCTGAACTGGCCTTGCCCTATAATCAGATTTATGACTACCCTAATTGTCATCATAGAGCCTTCATCCAGAACAGAGATCCACAGCCAAGGATTAGGCCAAGCTCTGTGCATCCAGTTGAAGAAAGGGTGGAGGGAATATATGAGCATGATTGGTAGAGGTCAAAATCATGATTGGGAAACCCACAGAGACAGCTGGTCTGAGCTTGTGTGATCTCACAGACCTTGGATTGACAGCTAAGGAGTCAGTCAGCATGGGACCAGCCTAGGCCCTCTGCATCTAGGTGACAGTCATGTAGCTTGGTCTTTTGTGGAGCCCCTAGCAGAGGAACCAGAACCTGGCTCTTTGGAACCTTTTCCCTATGGTGGGATGCCTTGTTGATTACCATGGGAGGCCTCACCACATCTAAATGGAGATAGAGGAGGAGTGCGTGGGGCAGGTGGAAGGGAGGTGGTTGGAGGGGTGAGAGGAGAAGAGGTCGGGGAAACTGTGGTTAGTATGTAAAATAAATTTAAAAATGACTTTAAAAAAAAAAGTCAAAACTGGTGCTTTCTAGTTGTCACTCTTGTCTCTCCAAATGATTGGCAGCCTAGAGCCCCTGCCATATTGTGGCTCTTTATGTCTAACTGCAGTTTTCCCAAACTCTGCGTCTGTTAACAATAAACCACAGAAAGTAAATGAACTTGGGGGGACACTGGAATAGTTTGTGGGGCTGGAAAGGACTTGGACCGAGTGTCCTCATTCATATTCCAGTGGAGGGAGCTGCAGTAGAACTCCTGCCTTCCATGAGGTGCTGGGTTGGATCTCTAGCACTGCAAGGAAAATAGTGTATGTTGGCTAGAAGTCAGTCACAGAAGCTGGGAAGTGCAAGCTTGTGCTTAGAAGCAAATGGAGATGATTTTTGGGAGTGTTCTTTTCATTCTGTTGCTATGATACTGGCTGACCAAAAGCAACTCAGAGGAGGAAAATATTTATCGTGCTGATACTTCCAAGCCACAGTTCATCACAAAGGGATGTCAAAGCAGGAACTTGAAGCAGAAGCCATGGAGGAACACTGCTTGCAGGCCCACTCTCAGGCTTGGGCTCAGCTAGCTATTTCATCCAAGTCAGGACGACCTGCCCAGGGAATGGCACTGCCCTGCGACATCAATTAACAATCAAGACAATGCCACAAAGGCTTTCCTGCAGACCAATCTAATTTAAGCAGTCCCTCAGTTGAGACTCCCTCAGGTGACTCTAGGCTGTGTCCAGTTGGCAGTTAAAGCTAACTAGAACAGTAACTATGTGTAGCCAATCTTTCAGAGACTCCAAGAACCCTTGTCAGACCCAGGGTGGACCTGGCAGTCTTGTACTGACCGGAGCCGGGGGACTCCCTCCTTACTCTCCCTCTGCTCTTCTCTGAGTTGCTCAGCTGCTCAGTTCTGAGTCCTCTCTTCCTTGGACACTTCTCCTCTCATTCCTATGGGCACATTGTCCTTCCTAGTGGTTCCCGCTGCCGCCCCAGGGCCTGCTGCTTTTGGTGGATGCCACACACGTCTTAATCACATTCTTTGCCACTATAACAAAATGCCTGACATAACTCACTTGAAGAGGAAGGTCTTATTTTGGCTGATGGGAGTCAAGAGGCTTCATTCCATGGTTGCTTGTGCTCTTGGATAGAACTCTGCACTGGCAGGAGCTAAATGGGGGGGAGGGGGCTGCAAGATGGCCCTAGAGACCCGCTTTTCCCAGAAAGTTCCCATCTCCCAGTAATGCCATTACGAACCATCACAGGGAATCTGTTGGTTAGGACAGAGTCCACATCTGGTTGTCTCTGGAAACACTGTGAAAGTTGTGCCTGTTTCCTTTTCCCTATTCTTCTGTGTGTACATCTGTGTATAAGTGTGAGAGTGTGGGGGTGTAAGTGTGTACCTGTGTGTGTGCATCAGTGTATACATTAAATATATATATATATACATATATATATACACACATATATATATATATAGTTATGACTGTAGATGTGTGCGTGTCTGTGTAGGTGCAGGTGTGTGTGGGTGTGAGTGGGTGTGTTTGTATATGTTTTGTTATGTGCTGTTATGCATAGGTGTGAGTATATACATTGAGGGTATGAGGGTGTGTAGGGGTGTGGTGCAAGTTTCTGTCTTTGTAGGTGTGCATGTGAATGTGTGTAGGTTCGTGCCTGCATTGTGAATGTATAGTTGTGAGTATATGTTCCTGCATCTCTCTTTACAGGCCAGGGGTCAACCTCCACCCACCTTGTTTTCTGAGAGAGTCTCTCTGCCCTAGAGCTAATCAAGTAGACTAGGCTCGCTGTCCAGGGAGTCCCAGGTATCCTCCTGTCTCTGTCTCCCCAGCTCTGGGATTGTACCTACACCCAGATTTTATGTGCAGCAGGTGCTCTACTAACTAGGCCATTCAACCAGGCCTCCTGTGTGTTTCAATGGATCCGCTCTGGGAGTTAACCTCCCAGCCCCCCTTGATCTGGGACACATTGAGCACCATCACTGCCACCTTATTTTTGTTTCAAGGCCCTGTCTCTCCTTAGAGGAGTCTGCATCTGGTGAAGCTGGTGTGTCGTGAGGTCCTGGGCAGGGTTGCATAGTCCTTGTGTTTGTGGAAGGCATGCTGTCCATGTCATACTTGTGGCTTGGGCCCTGACATGGAATCAGACAGTTTTCCTTCTTCTTGCTAAGAAGCTCATCTTTAAAAACTCAGCAGGCCAACTGTGTTATTAAACTGTATAGTAGGGCCTGGAGATGGCTTGGCTAAGAGTACTTACAGCTCTTTCAGAGGATCCGTGTTTGGTTCCAGGCATCCATATCAGGTTAGTGCTTGTATCCACTCCCTTTTCTTTTTTTCAACAAAGTGGTTTTTGTTTGTGTGTGCATGTGTGTGTAGTCTGTGTGTTTGTGTGTGTGTATGTATTTGTGTCATGTGTTTGTATATGTGTGGTGTCCTTGTATGTATATGTTTATGTTTGTGGTGGGGGTATATAGTGTGAGTGAATACATTTCCGTTCGTAGTCTTTGACTCTGTGTGCATGTGTGTATGATCTGCGTTTCCTTTCGATTTGGGGAATCTACCCATGCCTCACCCTGAATGCTTCTCCTCCCATGCTTTGTACCTGTCTCATCCTCTCTACTTTCCTTTCTGTTCAGCCTGCCTCCTTCCCCCTTGTCTCTTGCTTGTTTGTCTGGTCAGCCATGCTTCCTTGTTATCTGGTAACATTTTTTAACTCTGGCCTAATGCTCCCATCCCATCCCTGGGCCTTGCTGGGTCTGTCTGCTAAGCTGCGACAGTGCCGCCCTGCACAGCCAGTTCTCCACCCTGTCAGCAGTGGTGGTTCACTGCTGAATTCTGCCTTGGAGGGAGGGGCCTAGGGCATTGATTGGGCATTGAGACAAGTGGCGGCTGCAATGAGCCTTTGCTGATTAGCTGGCTGTCTTCCATTCCTGAGCGGCCTGCAGTGTTCAGTCAGCACTTGTGTCTTGTGGACTGACAAGGCTTTTTGCCTTTGTCTTCTGTGAGATTTGATGAGAAATATCTTAACCATGGATTTGTTGAGTTTGGGGTAGGGGTTGTTTTTGTTTTTCTCTTTGAAAAAGAAGAGAGAAAAAAGGCCTTGGAGAAATTTTGTGACTTTTGTCTGCTGCTGCTTCTTCTTCTTCTTCTTCTTCTTCTTCTTCTTTTTTGGTTTTTCGAGACAGGGTTTCTCTGTGTAGCTTTGGAGCCTATCCTGGCTCTCGCTCTGGAGACCAGGCTGGCCTCGAGCTCACAGAGATCCGCCTGCCTCTGCCTCCCGAGTGCTGGGGTTAAAGGTGTGCGCCACCAACGCCCGGCTGTCAGCTTCTTTTTAAGTATACTTTCATTATATTTAGAATTCTGGGAGTTGAAATGAAAATGTGTGAGATGGAAATTTAAGAAATGTGGAATAAGGTGTGTAGGTCAGGGTACGGATGCCATCAGCTATTACCCAGAATGTTGG